GGGGTTGCATATATATATATATATATATATATATTTTTATTATTATTATTATTATTATTATTATTATTTAAAAAAAAAAATGGTTTTGACCCACAACCGCATATCTTTCATCCACCTCCAGCCTTTTTGGGCCCCCCCAAAAAGCGCAAGGGGCAGGAGCAGGAAGACCACACCCCCATAGAAGGGCGCCAGCAGCTTCAGGGCGAACTCCACCCCGAAGCCTCAAAGTCGTGGGGTTTGTTCGGTTGGAAGGGGCGGGAGGCTGGGTGGGGGCTGGGTGGTGGGGCTGGGTGGGTGGGGGGGAGGGCTGGGTGGGTGGGTGGGTGGGTGGGTGGGGGGGTGGGGTGGGTGGGTGGGGGGGGTGGGGTGGGTGGGGGGGGAGGGTGGGGTGGGTGGGGGGGGAGGGTGGGGTGGGTGGGGGGGCTGGAATGTCCGGTGGAAGCTCCACCTCTCTTGTAGAGGTTCCAGTTGAGCGGCAAAGCAAGCCCTCCTCAGCAAACCCCAGGCGACGGAACATTAACCCATCCAAGCCTCCTACCATCTTTGGCTGTGGCTGAAATAGATGTACCAAAATGGCCCCCTTGGTAAATGGAACCAAAGACTAAAACCTGCGTAACCCTAGCTCCTTAAGTTTGAGCCACAGCCACAGGCCAATGCGAGGCTGATCACCATTCAACAAGTATGGCTAACCTCATAAGAGCTCAAATCATGCATCCTCGCACGTCGGATTTGTCCGGCACCTCGGAGAAAAAATGGATGCCGACATGGTCTCACTGCCCCCCCCCCCAACAAAAAAAAGCCAAAGAAAAAACGTCTGACATCAGGAAGTCAAAGTATGGCTACGGAGTGTCTGCTTTGAGGGTCAACCTTTTCAGTCCTAAACAAAACCAGCCATAGTGGATGGAGTGTCTGCTTTGAGAGTGAAACTTTTCCCTGTCCTGAATGGAGTGTCGGCGTTGAGGGTGAACCCTTTCACTCGTCTAACCCAAACCAGCCAAAGTGGATGGAGTGTCTGCTGTGAAGGTGAACATTTTCACTCTTCGGACCAAGAACCAGCCATAGTGAATGGAGTGTCTTTCACTGTCCTTAACAAAACCAGCCATAGTTGATGGAGACTCTGCTTTGAGGGTCAACCCTATCACTGTCCCAACCGAAATCAGCCGTAAAGTAACTCGAATTCCCTTCTATCTGCCCACCGCGCGGCTCATGCTCACGAAGCACTGCAACCGGAACTGCGAGGCAATGTCCTCGGCCCCCAGTTTTGGCCACTGAAATTCCGTCGCTGCGAAAGTCGCTGGAAAACCAGAAGCCGCCGGAATGTGTTGCTGGGTCAACCTATGAAGGACGTTCAACGTATTGTTGATGGGTCAACACAATCCACCAAAACAGAACTTCCTTCAACACAGCCTTTGCGCTAGTTGGGAGAAAGCAGTTCCTCGTGAAAGCCCACCAGTTTGGTTTTTCTTTGCGCTACCCTCACTCTCAAAGGTAAATACTGTGCGGGCCAGCCTTGATTCTCATCGGATTCGTGGAGGCCAAAAAAAATCCGTTGCGCAGGAAGGCACAGGCGTGTTCTTGATTTCCAAGCAGCGGACGAAATGGAAATTGGATACTTTAGAACCAAACGAAATCCTGATCACAAGAGAATCAGGCATGCAATGATTCAGCACCTTGTGCTGATTCCTTTCGGATGGGGCGGTTCTTTTGAACTTCCCCTTAGGGTTGCACTGCGGGCCGTGGAAGCTGACTTTCGGAGGTCCCAAGGGAAATTCGGCGCCTTGGAGCTGATCCAAGTTGCATCGGCCTACCTCCGACTTCGTCTGCGGCCCGAATTCAGCCCGAATTCAGCCCGCAGTGGAATGCGTGTGTGGTGCACGGTGTGCACCGCGGTTTGCAGCGAGTTCGCGAGTTCGCGCATCCAGCGACTTCGCATTGAGGGAGTCTATCTCTCAACCGAGATGGCACGCAACGCACAGCGCCCAGCGTGAACTACCTACCTGTCAGTGCAGCGCAGCTACGATGAGCTACGACTGCACGGCCAGGCGTCAGCAGTCCGCAGTCCGCAAAGCACAGCGCCGGCATGCCCAGCGGCGGAACTACCACGCAGCGAAGATTGGCTGAGCTTGGGCGGCACTGCACTGGAAGCACATTGCTAAGTTTGAGACAGAAAGCCCTCCGTGCACTCCGGGCACAAATTGGAAGCTCACTTTTTGCCCAAGCTGCTTCCAAAGCATAGCTGGGAATAGCTGATGCATGCGAATCTTGAGTGCATGGGTTGCAACTAAAATCCCAAAAGCAGATTTTGCAACGCGAAGGTTCAAGACACACAGGTGACACCGCAGAACAAGACCTCCGCATATCAGGCAGAAGATTGACCCCACCCCACCCCACCCCTACCCCACCCCACACCATCCCACCCTGTCAGTTTGGCTGGGGTCCGCCCCAGAACCCCCCAAGCCCCCAGCCCCGAAGCCGCGGCGCAGACACGGCCGGTGTCCAGGACAGCATGTCCGACACCGCCGCGGGAGCTGTGGGCAGGATTCCTGGCGAAGCTTGAGCTGAAGGTTGGGTGGATCTACCCCAGTCTCTCCTTTCGAAAAGTCTTCCCTATCAAGTCAGCGCGGGTTTCACTGGTTTTTGACACATTTGACAACCAGAAGAGACATATACATGTATATATATATATATATACATGTAGAAATCAATAAATGGGGTGGCAAGTTTGGAAGGCCCTCCGGCTCAATTTGAGGTCAGCGAATGCTGGGAGAGATCAATGGATTCCACACGTTTCGGCTTGGTTTCATCGACCATAAGCCATCTATCATGTCAATTACTTCCAAAAGTGACACCTCAAAACCCAGAACGAATCACAAGCGGCCGCCAATTCTCTGTTGCAAAGGGGCAGCAGAAACTGGGGCACATGCTGCTTCTTGGGCTCCGTGCTTAAATGTGGGGGTTGATCAACATTCCCTTCGGCCCCATCAGACCATGAGTAACTGTTCGCGTTTAGTTGGGGAAAGTCATCTTTTTGGTGGTTTTCCCCAATGGTCCTCCCATGAATCACGGGCCCTTTGATCAACCCCCAGGTCTTCTTTCTGGGGAGTGGTGTCAAAGCTAGGGCAGCTTTCTGTCTATCGCACCGGCTGCTGGGCAGCCATCTTCAGGGTACTGCGCGGGGGTACCCCTTTGGTTTTCCTTTCAACCACCAACCAAAAAGAGCACCCTACAAAAAGGCGCGCCCAAATGATTCCTGCGGCTCACACGCACTTGAACCCTATCCAACATCGGCAAAAGGTATGGTTCCTGGAGCATCAGGTTCTCTGGACCCGGCTCGGAGAGAAGCCTGGCAGCCCTGCCTACATTGGTGCCCAAGGTCTGCATGAAGATCAGAGTCACGTAGCCAATCCCCAGCATCTCGTTGAAGATCGAGCGCCTCGGCCGGGAAAAAGGAGGCGCGTGGAAGGATTCTGTGGACGCTTTTTTTTGGGTCAAGAGGGAAACCAAACGGAAGTCACTCCGTTTTGCACAAGTCGAACGGGAAGGAGAGCCTACTGTTCAAGAACCACCCTTTCGTATTTGTTCAGTGAAACCAGAAGGAAACCAGTCTCGATGCCCTTGCTCGTGGGAAATCAACGGCCACCATGTTGGACAAACCAATCCCCAAGGGAGAGGAGGAAATGCGGCCGGCGGAAGTGGAAAGCACTTCAAAAATCGCCGCCCCTGGGAAAGCCTTTGACCTATGCCAACTGGAGCCGCTTTTTTGGCAAGTGTCCTCCCGCAAACACCGGACTATCCATTGGATGTTGGATACGTTTCACCCGGTCCAAATCGAATCCACCACATGGTGCGCATATCAGCGGCCAGCGCCGGCAAGCTGATTTCAACCTTCCCAGCCGGTGAGTGACGGTCAGGGCCGTAGCCAAGCCCAGGTGAGGTCCCCAGCGGCAACCCGGGAGATCTTAACCAAAGACCCAAAGCTTTCAGCTGGGGCAACACGGACTATGCAAGCGCAAGCGCGAGGAACTGATAAAACCAGAAAAAATGATGGACCGGGTGGTCTCCCCAACAATCCCCTACAGGCCTCCGAACCACTCCCTTTCGCCTATTCAACAAATCCCCCTTTCGGCCCCTTTCGCCTAGTCGGGCCTCTTTCGAGCCTGGAGAAAGGGAACCGTCCGTGGTTCCCTGGGCGCCCGAGGCTTAGCTCAGATCAAGCGGTGAATTCAGTTCTCAAGCGACACGCGAGTGCTGAGGGACTTGAATTTGGCCCAAAGAACCAGTGCAAGCCCCGCCAATCAAGATCACCAATCAAGGGTGAACATGGAAGATCAAACCCAAAAGGGGTGAATCATGAAAGTGCCTCATTGTGGGGAAGGAATTCTGCCTAGCGAATATGAACGGTTTATCTATGCAAGTGGATAACTTTACATGTTCGAACGGTTAGCGCATGTTGCATGCCTTTGAACACACACGAGGCAAGCTTCAAAGTCGCTCTGCGAAAAGCAGCCTCTCTTTGCCTATCGCGTTTGGGTTGACCCTCAAATTTTGAAGCGGGAAATCGAGCTAAGCCCGCAAACCAAAACGGGGACCGAACCCGTCCCACAGCCACTCATTGTTTCGGCACCGGGTCCCAACTGCATCCCATGGGGATGGATTTCTTTTGGCCTCCCTTTAACCAAAACCACCCCCGAAAGGGTGCCGAGCCTCGAACGAAAATTACACCTGCGCGCGCAGAAACATTTGGCTTTGATCCAAGTGGCCGGAACTTGATCGCGTGCACACCAGTATCGCCAAAACCAATACTTTAAAAACTCGAATATAACCAAAAAAGCAAAAGAACAACAACACCACACACATACACACTCAAAAGCAAACAGGCTTTTTGAAACCACCCAATTAAAAAGACCAGAGTACCGAAACGAACCCAAACCCACCCACTAGTAAATTGTACCCAAAACCCCCCCCCAACGGGTTCAGCCCAAACCCGGCAACCCCAAAAAAACATCCCGAACCCCAGACCCACCCAGCCCGGAAGACATCTGCCATGGGTCAAAACCCCGTACCCCCAGTGAACATCCCAATCCCCGCTAAAATCGGTTCTAAAAATGTGTGAATTCACCTACCCCAAAATGGGATCCTATTGGTTTCGAACCCCAGAACCACCGAAGACATGGCCGTGGGTCGAAACCCTGTACCCCTGGCGAGCATCAAAATAGGTGGCAGGCACATGGGTGTTCATCCGCTCCAAAATGGAGGCATAGGTTATGACCTATGGCCGCATGGCCATGGGTCAAACGCCCGTACCCCCAGTGAACATCCCAATCCCCGCTAAAATAGACTAAAAGGGGCGGTGCACCTACCCCAACATGGTACCATTGGTTTTGACCCATGGCCTTGTCTCTTTCTTCCGAATTCCTCCGCGGCGCTGGGACTTCAGCACGTCCTTGGTGCCCAGCTTCATCATCACCACCAGCGCCACCGGGCCGCCCAACATCAGCAGCACCGGGAAGAGCGGCAGCCGGAAGGCCGCGGAGCCTCGAAAGGAGCGTGCGGTCAAGGCACAAGAAAATTTATGTTGCAAGCCCCATGGAAACGGGGAAAAGCACGGGGTTTTGGCCAGGTGGCCATGACTTGAAATAAGGAACCTCCGGAAAGTTGGTGGACACAAAGCCCAAAATGATGTTCACCAGAGGGTTCCCCAATGAAAATTCATGCCGTCAACCCCCGAAATGGCGGGCAAGCCCCATGTAAACAAAGAGGCTCTAAAACCATGGCTTGACTTATGCTCCAAGAATTCAGGCGGATCTTCGCACCTATGGTTGGGAGTACGTGTCCCTTACTAACCTTCATCTACCCAGGTTGCGATTGTGGCTCAGGTTGGTGTTTCTGGGTGAAGACAGTTGGGTAAACCCCCAAAAAGGCCTGGTACATGGGTTTATGCACGAAAACCTGCCCTTCCCTGGTGGTTTAATTTTGACCCATGCCCATGTTTGCTCGTTTTTTCGACCTGCGGTGCGCGGAGGAAAAAAAAGAAAAACGCGCTGCGAAGCACATGGCCGGATGAGGAAAGCTCTAACAAGGAGCGCAAAAAGAAGGTGGCGAAGAAGCACATGCCTGGACGAGAAAAGCGGAAGCAAAAAAAGAAAGAATACAAAAGAAACACTGCCTACACTTTCAAGTGTTTTGATCGCGCGTACTTGGATATCCCAGGCCTAAGGATTCCTTCAAGTTGCAACACCAACCCATGCGTAGGGTCAAAACACACCTTGATGGAGTTGTTTAGACCACTGTAAGGCTTCCTAAACGAACCATGATCATGGATGGGAAAAGAAAAAAACAAACCGCTGCTTGGGGAAACGTCCGAGATAACGCCTCACAAAAGGCTCCTTGAATAGAAGAGGAGCCTGATCTACTCGGTATCCTACGAGTTTGTGCGAAGAACCCTGACCGCCTGCAAACAGGAGGAATGATAACTCGGTTGCTGTTGACCCCCCTGCAAAAAGTTTAACTTTTTGGGGGCTTAGTGGAAACCCCCTTGATTTCCCAAAAAGTTAAAGTCTAAACATCCAACCCAGTAGCAGTCAAGACAAAAGGTGCCTAACCAAGGGGCTGGCCCAACCCTAGGCCCATCAGTCACCACTCCCGGAAGGGTCTAGAAAATCCCACACAAAGCACCAGCTGGTGTATCAACCAGTATTTTCAGGGCTGCGTCCATCCCAACTGATGCAGGGTTTTGTCCATCCACTGTGCCACCTTTCAGGCCAATCTTGAGTTAGTTTCCCGTTCGCTTCGTGGAGTGCGTCTTAAACTGGCCCCTCTCGGTAAAAGGGGTTCTCACCCTTTTCACTAAAAGGGATTCTCAAATTACTCTTGGGACCAGGTGGGACTTGGGTAATCTTGGAGGACGTCACTTGAATGCCGAGGACGATGCTTGTGTCGTGCTCCCGTCTTCCCTCTCCATCTCCCATGGATAAGTACTTCCAATAATCAAGAAAGAGATGGAACCTGATAGTGTGAGAGGCAAGGAGGAACATGGGAAGGAGATAACAAGAGACAAATGAACGGATAGGCCTGAATTATTGTTTGTTTGTCGCTTGCCTACTTATGTACATCCCTTCTCCTCTTTCCCCATTCAGCGCTTTTATTCTTGTTCCACTTCCTAGTAATTCAATGATGTGGGACAGAGAAAGAGAATAAAACAGAAACCAGACCATGATTCATCATTTCTGTATTGCCTGTGGCCTTCTTCGTCATCTCTGCTTTTCTCTCTCGCTCTCTCTCTCTCTCTCTCTACACTCGCTTCCTTATTCCTCACAAATACAGAGGTGAGAGAGAGTGAGAAAGAGAGAAAGGGAATGGGTTCGTCTCCCTCATCCATTCCCAAAGATGCTGAGACGAAGGCGAGCTATGATGGCCACTCTCTCCTAGATCCAACGGTGAGAGAGGGAGAGAGCTATTCTTTCCTTATCTTTTCCACATCCTCATCCCAATGGAGGATGGGAGAGAGACAGAGATAAGTGTGAGTGGGCAATTAGAACGCATTGGCAGCCTAGTGCACACTCAAACACTCTACCTCCATATATCACTTAACCAACTCCGCCAACTCTTGGCCCGCAGGAAACTCCAGAGGTAGGAATGGAGCAGCGCAACCCAACGGGTTGCCAGCATCGTGTCGTATGACACGGAGAGTCGTCTTTCAAAACGGACCTTGTGCGCGTCCATGTTTGACCAGCCATTCATCAAATTTCTATTAGACTGTTCTCATTCCCCGGGCAGTTGTCTGAGAAAACAACACCTATCCCCTTCGCCCCCCTCCAAAAACAAACCATGTATCCGTCTTTTTCTTGGGGTCATGGGGTCGACCCCTCCATCTTTCCAGCCCCACCGAGATCAAGCCCGGGCGAGTGGCACTGGCTGCAGTGCCCTGAAACCTCCCGGTAGTAGCCATCCTGGCAACTCCGAGTAAGCTCCCAACACGAAGCCAGCCGCTTCAAACAGATCCTCCCGGTCGACGTAAATTCCGTCACTGCCGTTCGACGAGATGTGAAACAAGCTCGCAAGTGGGCAACCAACGGGGTGTGCTAAAATCACGCTTCCCAAGCAAGCTCACTTTCAGTTGGCGACCTAAAGGGTGATGCCTTAAAGCTCACAGGCTTCCAAGTTCAAAAAGATGATGTCTTAAAACCACCCTTCAAAAAGCAGGCTCGCTTCAGTTGGCAAGCAACATGGTGATGTGTCAAAATCACACTTTAAAGGCAAGCTCACTGTGGGCTGGCAACCAAAAAAGTGATGCGTGAAAATAGCACTTCAGAAGCAAGCCCACTTTAAGTTGGCAACGAGGTGATGCGTTGAAATAACCGTTCAAAAGCAAGCTCGCTTTGAAGTGTCAAAAAGCAACGTGATGTTTGAACATATCCCTTCAAAAGCAAGCTCGTGTGTTAGATTCTCCCTTCCTTAAGTTGGCAAGCAGCAAGGTGATGCGTTGAAATCACCCTTCAAATGCAAGCTCACTTTAAGTTGGCAACCAACAAGCCGATGTCGTGAAATCACGCTTCCGAGGGAAGCTCACTTTAGGTTGGCAACCAAAAAGGCGATAGGCGTTGGATCCCCAACCCGCAAGCCCTCACCTCGCAAAAGCCACAGGCAGTGCCGGTGGCGTGCGGCCCGCATTTGCCCAAGGCGTTGCCAGGGCAAATCCACGAGTCCTGCAGCTGGTGCTGGGTGCTTGCTGGTGCGATAGGCAGGGAATGAGACATGGAATGACCCTCTAGAAACCAATCTTGGTGGTTTCCTTTAGGACCTCTGGGTTCTTTCCTTCTTTCCCTGCTTCCCTACTGAGCACCAGCAGGCTTGGGAACGCGCAAAGCCTGGGGTAGGTGTCAGTTGGGACCGGGACCCATGGCGGCAATCGAAGGATGAATCGCTGATTTTCCGGGGCCCCACATGCATGTTAAGACGTTGAGTTCCGGCAACAGCGGGGCAAGGAAGCCATCGCCCGCGCGCGATGTCTTCATAGAACTCCGTCCGTCACAGGCCCCGCCCCCCCATACCCCCCCCAACATGCCCCCCAGATTGTTTGCTGGCCATGGGGCCAGCGCTGGAAGCAGATTCGGTGGGGGATGGCGCCTGCTTGCTGGATCCCAGCCAAGTTTGTCGCGCCTAAGTGCCTCCGCCAAAACGTTTTTGTCGCCGGGTATGTGAGAAACCACGCCAATGAACAAGGCGCAGCAAGGAGGAGAGCCACGTCCGCGCGCTGGCAAGCTAGAAAGCGTTGCCCGCAGCCGTTTTGCTGACTGGATTGGGAACCAAATTGCCTCGTCTTGACCATGCCAATTCCAACACCGGCGGGGGAAAGCGGCTCAAAGGCGGTTTTGTGCAAGTCGCTGCGGTGTATCCTGGTGTGGCCTAACGAAGCTCATGAAAATTCAAACAGAGGGTCCGACGAAGGGGAACCAGGAACATCCAAGCGACTCAAACCGCCGCAACGTAAATAAGCCAACCCGCCGCAAAGGGAAATCGACTATCCAGGCAAGTCACTTTCCGCAAGTTACTCTCTCCAAGTTTGCGAAATGTCATTCTATGCAAGTTGCGCTCTGCTAGTCACGCTGCGCAAACCAATCGGCACAAGTCGCTGCAGGTCCGTCACTGTGCGGCAGCCACGCCGCGAAAGCCACTTGGCGCAAGTCACCCCGCGCAAGATACTCACCGCAAGCCACTCCGTGCAAGTTACGTCGTTCACGTAGCCCTTCGCAAGTCACCCTGAGCTCCCCAAAAATCGCGCCATGTCGTACCTTTCAAATTTGAAGGTAGAAAGCCGAACTCATGTTCGCAGTTGCTGCTCGGTTGCACACACGAAAAGTTGCGCGTGAATCTCACTTCCGCAACGCGAAGGCTGATCCGCAGCTTTGGCTGTCGCAAGCTTGGTTGGAAGTCACGCTGTGCTTGTCAAAGGGCGCAAGTTGCTCTGCGCTGCGCAAATCAGGGTGTGCAAGTCACTCTGCACAAGCCACTCTGCGCAAAATACTCTGCCCAAGTCACTCTGCGCAAGTCGCTTCGCTCGAGTCTGCGCAAGCCAATTCACGCAAACCGCACTTTGCAAGTGACACTGAGCTAGTCTCACTCTGCGCAAGTCACTTGGCACAAGTCACTCTACTCGAGCAACCAAGCCACCTTCGCAAGGAAGTTTTCATGCAAGCCGCAAGTCACCCCGCGCAAGTTTCTCCATACTCTACGCAAGTCTCTTTGCGCAAGTCGGTATAAGCCAAGTCACACTGCAGAAGCTGCTCCACTCTTCCCGAACCTACTCCACGCAAGTTCTCTACGCAAGTGGCCTGCGCAAGTCACTCTGCGCCATTGACTTGAGTCGGGCAGACTGCTGCGTTCAGAGCTCAAGCCATCATTCCAAGCAGCAAAATTACATTGAGGATCCAACTGATCCAAGGATGCAACACCAAAACAAAGAAAAACACGCGCTGCAAGAACGTCAACATGATCGAACATCTATGTATATATATATATATATATATTGCCCCCCCCCCCCCCAAGGGCCTACCCTCTCTCTTCTAGTTGAAGGTGTCAACTCTACTCTGTGTGCCTCGTTCATGCGGCTGAAAACACTGCAGCATACAGTGTGTTTGTTGGTGTTTAACTTCTACATGACGGCAAATGTTTGTTGTTTTTTAAGCTTGAAAGGCAACAAAGCAAAAACGGAATCCGTTTTCAGACTCGCGTCTGGCTTTGTTTGAAAACACTGGTTTTTGCACTGGCTTTGAGTACACCAGGGAGCAAACATTGAAAACATGGTGTTTCTTGCAGCTTTCAGCTCTGAATCTGAGACCTGCACATGCCAAAACAGTCTCCAGAACAATTTTGGGAGTCTGGGGATATTCGCCCATTATTTGTTTAGCCACATTCAATCTAAATCATATTTGGGAATGAGTTGCTATTAAAGTTTGCTTGCAAAGGCCAATTGAATTCTGTCCAGATTAAGCTCTATTCAACTTTAAGTCATATGTGGGAAGGGATTCCTAATTCACCTTTTATGTTCAAAAGCCAATTGAATTCTGTCTGCATTAAAGTATATGTAAACTCTACTTAAATGTTAATTGTCCTTATTCAGAGAGGAATTCCTATTCAAATTCTGATTAAATATAGAAATTATGTTGAATTATGAATTGTGGTGAACTATGTCCCTAAATTCTATTCAACATTCCAACTCAATTTGGAGTAAGATCTTGTTTGGATGCGAAATCATATTTGGACATGTGGGAGCACTCCCGGCTCCAAATTATGAGGCTTGGAGAATCCAACAATAGACATTTCGAGAATTCGGATCCCCAGATTCTAGGTTTCAGGTGTTCCAAAATTGACATTTCAAGGGATTAGAGGTCCAAGAAAATGCTGTAAAACGCCGTGTTTTGCAGAATTTGCTCAGATTGTGTTCCCTTGGGCCAAAGATTGAGTTTTTCCCCAAATAACATGTTTGCGTAAACAAAGGTATCCATTTGCTGCGCAAGAAGCCTCAAAAGGTTTATAAACTTTCAGGAAAGTTTAGAGAGGCATCGCTCAGTCCATATATTCAAGAAAAGTGCGAGGAAATCAAGGGCCGATGACCCCCCAAGCAAAACACCCTCTTTCGTGTCTCTCCTTCCAGCGCGTGGCTGATGGCGTCTGAAAGCATCGTACCGCGAACCCTGACAAGTTCATTAAAAGCACCTGACAGTTTCATTTCAACAAGACCGGTTCGTAAGCAACCTTGACCTTGGTTGCTGTTGACTCCCCTGCAAAAAGTTTAACTTTTTGGGGGTTCAGTGGTGGAGAACCCCTTGATTTCCCCAAAAATGTTAAAGTCTAAAAACCCAACCCAATAGCAGTAGAGTGACAGCTTGACAATTACGACTTCGAGCCATCCCCGCCCAAATTGCGCTACTTGAAACGAATTGCGCATCAAAGCAGATCTCGCCGGTTCAAGGTCTAACATCTAGTGGAGAAGACTTCCCAAAAAATTGAAGAGCTACAAAGTGTACCAACATCGCAAGACTAAAATGGTAACAATCGTGTGTTGGAACTTGCAAAACTGAAACCAAATTAAATGTTGGGCAGGGACACCAGCAACAATCTCTGGGATACACATGGTGAAAACGTAAACATGCATCTGATGAATTCAATTCATCGTTTAGATGTGTTGACCTTCTACATTACATGGACACAGCGTATCGTACGGTTCCACATGTAAAATGCAAATTGCTGAATGATTAAACGACATCTAAGTGTTTGGAAGTTTCCCGCAACAAGGCAACACCCTGGGAAGTCTCCACGGTCATGGCATCGTTGAAGGGTGCGGGGAGGGGGGCAGGGATGGATAGAAGTCTTCGCAGTACCTCCCCCCTCCCTCCTCTGTCCCAGACTTCTCAACCCCCCCACAGGTGTTGCCTTGTTCCTTGTTGCAGGGAAACTGTCAAACCCTTGACATGGTTTATAAACTTTCCTGAAAAATTATA